GGTGCGGGGGGCCCGTCCTGTGGCAGGCGAACGGCGATGCGCCAAGCCGGCAGCGCTTGACGGTAGGGTTTGTAAACGCTGCTTTTGACGGTCAAAAACAATCCATTTTTTCCTTTCCTTTCGGTCATCTGAAGGGCGCGCTGCTTGCCGTACGGGCAACTCCCTCTTCTGTTTCTGAACTGGTTTTCTTTTCCGTGCCTGTAGCTCAGAGAAGCCCAACTGGGATTACCAGGCAGAGGTACGAGCCTTCAGCCACCGGCTACGTGAAAACTTTTCACTGGATCTTCTCAAGACCGCGTTTGTTAATTCTTGTTATATTGAAAGCGAAGAGGCAAGACGCCGAGAACTTGGGCTGGACAAAGAAACGGTTGCTCTTAATCTACAGGATAATAGTAAACTCGCTGAACGAGGGATGTCGTTTTCACGTTCTTACCTGACGCAGTGCTTTGAAGGTGCCTACCCAGGTTTACCTGCAAAGGGCGTAGGAGCGCTTGTTGATTTTCTGACCGGCCAGGAACTTGTTTCTCACGTGGCTCAAAACCTGGCTATACAGGACCTGACGCTTTGCAGAGAGTTTCCCGTCCCACCACACGTGCTGCAGAGGACGTTCTTTGCTGTAATAGGAGCCTTGCTCGGTAGCAGCGGGCCTGAGAAAACGGGGCTCTTTGTCAGGGTAAGCCGTTACTTATCGCGTGTTTTCGTACTGGCAGCAATAACATCTAAGGGCCTCAGAAGTTACAGGAAAAAAAAAGGCGAAAAAATTAAATACTGTCTTGTACCCTGATGGCCAGAGATCCAGGGAGATTGGCAGCAGCTTGACGATACCTGTAACAGGACAATTTAACAATGAGATTTGTTGGTTGATGGTGGTGGTCGGGTGGGGGATTGGGTTTTTTGGTTTTTCGTTCTTTTTTTTCTTTAAGAAGCACAGGCTGGTCAAGTATATAAAATGGTATACTTCTGGTTTGTAACGGTGATATTTTAGTATTTGCTGACCCTTGCTAAGGGAAAGCGTTGTATTCCATGCACTATGCTATCAAATAACAAAGTTATTCCATGTCAGGTCACATATATCTTCAATTTTAAAGGAACATTTTATATAAAGCAGGGGCTGAGTTCATAGGTTTTGCACGTAGGAGTGCAAGCACCTACAGAGATTTCACACACAAACGTTCAATTAAAACGCAGCGTAACAAAGTAGTTCTAGCAGCTACTGTCCTTTCAGTCGGCCTTTTCACTTATTTCTAGTTCTGCAATGCAGAAACGTTTGTTAAAATCTCATTTCTGATACAAGACCCTTGAGAGGCCTCTGTAAGAGCGAGGAGCGGTTAACGGGCAAGAGAGGGATCCGAGCAGGTGAAAGTCCCGTGGGTTTGCACGTTTCCTTCAACCTGTTTGCGGAACTCTTCCGACATACAACTTCTCGCTTGGAAGCAGCGCCGAGTTGCTTACCTCGTGCTCGGAGCTGCGCCCGGGCGTTGTTGTAACTCCTCGCTCAGGCCGGTGCTGTTCCTCCTTTAGGTCTGGGCGGTTGACTTGGCCCAAGGCGCACGTCCCGTCGGTGGCTAAAGCAGGACCGGGGCTGCCAAGCGTGGCAACAGCGGTCAGCCGTGCTTAGCTGTGATGGAGCACTGAGGCAGCTTCATCATTCATTTCAGCAGCTTATTGTCAGCCGTATTAATGCCTCTTCATACTGTATTTTTATTGGGAGACACCAGAAGCTAGAGCCGTCGTTACCTGTCCCATTAATTGTAACTTCTAAATATTCTTGTTTAGGACTTTTTTATTCCCCAACTGATTGGAAAAGACCTGTTTGAGATCTGGGAAGTTGTAAATCCTATGGGCTTACTAGTGGAAGAACTGACCAAGAGGAATATCCCTTCTCCAGAACCACGAATTACCAGGCAGCTGGGAGTCAGCACAGTTCTGCCACTGTACTTTGTTGGCTTGTACTGGTTAGTGCAATGTTAATTTAAAGGGAAATGGATTTAAGCCGGGGGAGAGGGGAGGAGGGAAGACGGTCTTTTACTTTTCTGCTCCTGCTCTTCCGTCAAGTTATTACAGAAAGGAAACCTTGCAGTCACTTCCATCTAAAATCAGCCATTTAAGCGTTGGCCATAGCTTGCGGTAACGATGCATAAAAAGACAGTCTGACTAAAGGGCTTCAGAGTCTAAATCGGGCGCACAAAAAGAGTCTGGGTGTATGTTCTGGGTGACCTGACGTAGGAACTTTGTGAACAGCGTGACTGAATGGCTTTGGAGGGACCGCAGCTGTATCCAGGGCTTAGGGAAGGGTAAAGAGACACAGACGTCAAGGGAGGTGGGACAGAAGAGAGGCTTATTTCACATTCCAGAGCAGCTTTTTAGTTTTCAAATCGCGGGCACTGTAAACCAGGCAAGAGGAGCATCTGCAGACGAGACTTAGGAAGCGCCAGTCATCCCTGGCGCGCTTGCCTCGGGCGCGGTCAGTGCTTGTCCTGGTCTCTTGCCCAGGGGTAACATCGCTCCTCTGGAACAAGACCAGGACCTCCTTCCACCAAAACCCACGTCATTGTGGCTTTGCTAAATGAGCTGCGGGTGAACGCATGGGAAGATTGCCTTAACTTGTTCTGATTTATCGTGCTTTGGTTTAACTGCCTTCTAAGATTTATTACCTTATATAAAAGAAAGGAACTCGGATTATTTTTCTTCTGGAATCCCCGGGGTCCCTTCACGAACTGCTCCTATTCGGTGCCCGTAGATGTTGATGAAACAGAGCTGTGTACGTACTTCGTAACACAGAGAACTTCTCTGTGAATCCTTTTGAAGGAGTTTTAAAATGCTCTCTTACCAGGGGAGGAGAAAAGACAGAAGCGTTTCGCTTCTTTGTTTCAGCTAACCAGAGTAACGAATTTGCATCTTTTTAACAGGGCTAGCGAACTGAACACTGTAGAGAATCGGTGATACGTTAGGAATCTAAATGAACGGAGTAGCGTTCTTCCAGGAAACGGACACATTTCTGATCTGAGTTTCCATTGTTGAACATACAGTCACTTATCTTTGCAGGAAAGACCAACGGGAAATGTTTACATTTGTGTGTATACAGAAATTACCTTCAGTATTCACAGGCATTTGGGGGGGGGGAATCTGGGAGCCCTTATTTACGATACACAGTAGTGCTCAGGATTTCGTGATGAAAATGTTTTTAATTTTGTATTTTTTTTTCCCCAAGCGATAAGAAGATTATAGCTGAAGGTCCTGGTGAAACGCTGCTTGCTGCAGAGGAAGAAGCTGCCCGCGTGGCACTGCGGAAGCTGTATGGGTATACAGAGAACAGGAGACCTTGGGATTACTCGAAACCCAAAGAAGGATCCGCGGCCGAAAAGGCTATCGGCAGTAACTAGATGATAAAAGGCATTTCGGGTTTCTCTTAAGAATTAATGGCTCCCATGCTGAATATAGATGTATTTAGGAAACCAAAATTCAGTTTGGTTTTCTGATCTTCAGTGCTCGAAACTTTCAAATCAAATACGGTATTAAAATAAATAAAGTCTCTCTTCCTTTTGCACGATGTTTAGTATTTGCTCATTTTCCTAAACGTAACAAAAGCACCCTTATTCTGAATTTTTGCCTTTTGGCTGAGAAGTTTTTCCATACATCACAGGAGACCGTTTTTAATGACGTTTAATAGCGCGTGACAAAATCTCGCTGTATAGAGAAAGGTTTCGTGAATGCTTCCTTGGAGATTGTTTTGAGGGTATTGTTAACGCGATGAGTTGAATTACGTATGCAACATCGGTCTTTGGATTGCATCCGGATTCGTTTGTCCTTGACCTTGTGAAAACACCAAACGTCATGTCGATGATACTGACGCTGTTGGTGATGCAATTTAAAAAAAAAACCACAACAAAAAAAAGTGCAAATGGCACTTTTGAGGTCTTACTGCTTGCGTACAATTTTGTTTGCCATACACACTGGTTTCTGTTGTTGGAGCACGCTCTGAAAGAGGATGTGTTTTTAATTTTAAAGTTTGTAAAAATTTCTCCATTGCAAAACTAGAAATAAGTGAAAATAAGGATCACGAAGGCCTGAACCCAAATTGGAGACCGTGCTTTAATGCTAAGGTATTAGGTAAGCTACAGCCTTCTCTTTTCTTTTTTCTCTTCTCCTTTTGGTGCTTTTCCTGTGTAGTCCAGGTACTTCATTTTTCTCTTGTCTTTTGGCCGCTTAATTTAAGCGATCACGTGACTAAAGCATTGTAAATCAGTCTTTGTTTTGTTTGCAGCATCTGTAGCTGTTCTGCTGTAACTCCAAGCAAAGGGAAAGTCACTTAGGGATAACTCGGGCACCTGCATGATGTTCCTATTAAACGTCACAGAAACTCGGTATGTGTACCAGAAGACAACAGATGCATGAGGACTGTGACTCTTCTGGAATAATTTCCTTTAAAATTGAGTGAGGGTCTATTACAAACGGGGACTGAGCCCTCAAAGGAAGAAAGGAAGAAGCTGAATGTGGGGCGGTGGTTAAAGAAGTGTTTCCTGCCTTATCCCAGTGTGAGCGCTGGCTGTAAAACAAAACAGGTCAATGTGCCTTCACTAATGGGGGGAGAAGAAAATCACGCAGGTGGCCATTCAGCCAGGTGTGGTGGTACTGTCCGTAACAACACGCATCCCTTGCCTTCGGCCCCCAGGATGGATTTATGCGGAGGGCACTCGGCAGCGAAAGCCGCGGTGGCGGCTGCGAAGCAGATCCGTGGTACAGCGCAGGTGGCGCCTTCCCTGCCGCCCCTGGCGTCAGAATGAGTTCTGACTGCGGCCGACTCGATGGGAACAGATTTATTAGCGCGTTCAAGCAAAAGAACTGGTTGTCCGCGATCCGTGTGTGTCTTCAGTACTTGGCGTGACCCGCATCTTAAGCGTGTACGAAACGCTTACGTGGCTGGATAGCAGGGAAACCTTCCTTCTGCGGCCGGGCATGAGAGGTGACGTGTGAAAGCTTGAATATAAAAAGGGCAGCAGAAAGATCAGTCTAGCATAAAATATGCATAAAACTGCTTGTGTTAAGTGAAAAATCCCAGCTAGGTAATCTGTTACCGCTTATATAAGCAAAGCCAATAAGGTCACTGTATTCCAGGGGAATAGTAGCAAAATCTGAAAAGAGGATAGAAATGACTCATGCTATTTTTAGTTCCCAGATGAGGTATTTCTCCTACCTTTACCTATTTTAAAAGGACAATAGTGAAGGTGGGGTTTTTCACATCCAAAGTTTGATCTACCTACTATTTTTTACGTACATATTTATGTATTTTGAGAGAAAAAAAACAATTTTCTGGCAGTTTTCCTTAAAAGGATATTTAAGATTTGCTTACCGTGGCTTTACAGTTTGGTCCTAGGAGAAGTGGATTACTGAAGAGTGTGCTGGAAAGAAAACTGAGCAATGCCAGATAAATTGATTTATTGAGTGGTACATGCATGGAATGTCTTGAGCTCAAACGGAAAGACGGTTTGGGGACATGGAAAGAAAGGACTGGGTTTTTATAGAGGTGTGAGTGGAAAAGGAGTTTTTATAAGAAAATGCGTCCTATTTTCAAGCTTCCAAAGGTCAGAAAAGCATTTTATATGGTATCTGTGCTTTATTTTCTGGCACTCAAGCATGTATTTGGGGATTTACCGTACCGTTGTAGTAGTGGGATCATTTACATACTTCAGATTAATAACTTCTTTTTTTTTTCCTCCCCAAATCAGTAGCCGTAAACAATATCCAAGTGGCATTAAAAGATCGGTTAGATTTATGGAAATCAGTATCTACAAAGTCTGGTGAAAACGGCACCTTTTCTTCTACTAGGAACATTGTTCATGAAATTCCATGATAGTTTTGTCGCCTGAAAAGTACTTTGTAAGCTGCTTGCGTTGGTTCCGACCCAGGTGCTGTATACAAGTGCATTTACGTCTCCCGGAGGTAGTTCCTTTCTTCAATCACGTTTTATTTTTCTTTCGGAGAAGGCAATCGATCAAGCGGCGTGTCAATAATTGACTGGCAGAAAGGAATCGGGACAGTCTATTCCTGCGACCCATTGAACAGCTCATTGATTATTGTTATGACTATTGTATTTGTAGACTTACTTAACAGTAGAAAAGGATACATTCTTTAGCATTTATGGAATTTTGGAATAGGTTAACATCACCTCAAGAGTCAACTTTGATTATGCTTTTCTGTACGCTACCTTTTAACCTTATCTGATTGTCCTGGTTTCGGCAGGGATAGAGTTAATTTCCTTCCCAGGAGCTGGTACAGTGCTGTGTTTTGGATTTAGGATGAGAACAAAGTTGATAACGCACCGATTTTTTAGTTGTTGCT